GGACGCCAGTCCATAGCAAATATTACAATAATATTATATAATATAATAATAAATAATAATATTACAAATTTATTTTACAATATGATTATACGCATTTATGGACGCATGTTATAAATTAAAATATAATACCTATTTAATTGTATAACATAATAATTTAGTGACTCTTACTAAGAGTTCTGATTAGTTTCTCTTGTATCGCCAATAAAAGAGGTGTTCCTCGGTGAACACTGAACAGGGTTAAAATTATTGTTATAAAAAATCAGTCAACAATTATTATTGTATACTTACTACCTTAGTCGAAATAAACTATTATTATTTTGTGTTATTAACTATATTATATTTGTCATACGGTTTGTTACTACGTTCATTAATTTTCTATAGTGTTTTCAAATATAATGTACCGCGTAAATAGTTTCGAAAACCGTTTGATATTTTTGAATTCCGATACTTGAATAATAATTACGATTTTTGCTATCAAAGACCACGACTTGTTTAGGTATAATACGCGTGCGTATGTAGGCTGTACGTATTCTTATTCTTCACGGGGCTCCTACAGTAGACTACCAATACTGAAAATCCGAAAAAAAGTTTTACTATAAATACTCGTTTCGATCAACGCAAACAATGTCAATACCTAATAAACATTTTTTTCCGGCTGGATAATATTTTGTGTGGTGTGTTAAGGATACATTGTATTTGCCTATGACGTAGCACGTAGGTATATTTTAGGAAAGATGCCTGTTTCGCTTATATGTAAAATAAATGTGCCACACACTGAATGCGACTATATTATTATGATGGATTATTACTATGGATGGTATACCTAGTACCTACGTGCATCATTGTACGGGTTTGTGTAACGTCCATGTACTTGTATCGTCGCCTTGGAGAGTAGTTACACCTAATTATTTTGTTTCGTGTCGTAATTCACATTGACTCTGCACATTATATAATTACGCTATTTAATTTTTCGCGTTTTTAACTTCATATTTTTACTACTATTGTTGTCTGACGCGGTCTCGTTACTCACAGGTTTATTGATGTTTTGCGGTTATAGAAAAGTTATCGATATTTACGATTCAATTCAAACCGACTTTACTTTATACATTTAAGTTAATTATATTCATTTGCTCAGTACGAGCATAATATTATTATAATCGTTCTTGGCCGTTCAAAAACTAGGCGACGCGGGCAATATAATAATATACTATAGTCGATACGCAAAAACGAAAAAAGCTTCACCAACGCCATCACCCGACACCCACTGGATACAAAACGGGCTTATCGCCATTACCATAATGGTGTCTTTTCTTTTTTTTCTCACTTTGAGTTATTGAGTGCCGTGATCTATATATTATTATATATCCCAGTCGCCGTCATAGTAATGCATAACGATTTCGCTTCAGAATTAATGTGCGTCAATATAATATGATCGGTTTTCCTTACATGTTTTATTAAAATTATGTACATCTATACTATTAGTGCATATTAAATCACAATTTTTGCACATCAGTAGTTGTTCGCCGCCGTTGACCAATCGAGCATCAGTGTATAAAATAGTTGGACAACAGATAACGCGTTATCATAAGATTATTGTTGCATTGTCTCTTAAGAAATTATGGGTAAAATCACCTTGAATCACCACGTTATTTAAAGCGTGGGTAGTACATGTATTTATTATAAATAATATTGCAGGTATTGATTTAATTTGTATTTGATTTTTATGTTTCGTTAAAAAAAATGTCCGCGTCGGGTTAGGTTTGGTATAAATATAATTGTTGAAACGTATTGAGCGGATTGTTTGTTCTATAATCATAATTGATAATGTTATATATATTTATATATAAACCATTGTTTATTAAATGAACGAGCAAATTTTAAAATTATTATTTTGTTATACAGTTGATTTTTTGCTGCGTTTTTTTTCATTGTGTCTAGTTATATAGGTTTTATTTAATATAATATGTCAAAAGTAATGTGCAAACTTGCTGACTTTTTTCCTATTCAAGACTGTTTGAATAATCAATTTTTATTCGGTATATTTTTTGGACCTCACGCCATATTAGAACTGTGTCTGTAAACATATACCTATGTTTTTATGATTATTATAATTGTGTAATGAATACATGATACACACATATTATTGGATAAAAAAAGTACTTGTGTTTGTGGCTTGCTATATAATATAATATTATTTATTCAATAGGAAAAAATATGTTCATAACTATTATTCCATGATAATATGATATACACATATTACACCTGTATAATCAGCTGAGAAGTATTATTATACATATTAAGTTAGTACTTACCTATTATTGGAAGAAATAACTTTTTATTAATTGTATGTATATTATGACTCGTTTTTTTTAATATTGTTGGTCCTTTTCAATATTTATTTATTATATTCTACATTTCTCTCAAAAATTATTTATTTTGTTTCATTGCAATGTTTCTTTTTTTAATGATTATCAATGATTCAATGTTAGAAATGATTTTTAAATTTAAGTTTAATACTACCATCTTTAATGTAATTAAAACTACTGATATTTGTGTACAATTATTAAAAGGAAATTGCATGCAATAAGATATTAGCAAAAATATTATGTTCGTTTATCATGGAATTATTGTTGTGCCATGAGCATTGCGTTTGTAATGTATAAAATTAAAAGTTTTTCGCTATATTACTGTTACAAAAGTAGACAAAAGGGGACTTGCATTAATTAACTAAATGTATTTTAAAATGCAATACTTGTCAGTTATTTTTTTTTTCTTTCGTATTATAGTATTTTATTTTATGATGATTTTATTTACAAAATAATACTATGTAATGAATACATTTAATCGAAAATTTAAAAGATATATTTTATAATATTGTTTATTACTTTTCTTTTTTAGTAGGCATTTACTTTATTTATACTAGTTGTGAATCCTGTGTCGGTCATTGGGTATATTATTAATTATTAATGCCCTAAAGAGTCCAGTTTAATATTGTTTACAATGAAATGATTAATAATAAATATTACTCGATTTTTGACAAAATAACTATTTAAATTAATAAATTATAGTGTGCGTTTTCCCCACTGTGGGCCAAATTTATTTACCAAGTATTTTGAGCGTATTTTGTCTATTCAATGTATATTTTTTCCCGTTGACTGATTTATTGACAAGTGATTTTATTTTATACAAACATTATGATTTTATGAATAAATTGTTTTCATCAATACATTGTAGAAGTCAACAAGTGTTAAATGTTACAACTATACTTTCAATAAATTATTGAACGATCTTAAAATTCTAAGTATTGTAATAACTTATACATAATAAGTAAAGACGGTTGAAAAAAAATGTGTTTTAAACTTACTCTCAACACTTAAATTAACGTTCCTGGTTGGTAACGTATACCATCGGACTTTGGTTGTTTTATAATAATTAGGTAATTATCAAAATCAATAAAACTCGTAACCTTGTTCAAATTGTACTTCTCTAACAATGTTTATTTACTATAACATTATATTTTTTGAGTATAATTTATAGTGTTTAAAAACAATGAATTATTATTTTTTAAATATGAACACTATTGTGTATTTATTATACAAAATACTACCTACATTCCTTTAACTAAATTTGTCGTATTTAACATTCTTGTTAGAACTAAATAGTAATGTCAAGTAACAGTTAACTCATGTATATAATTATTATGAATTCTATTTTAGGATAAATATTAATTCATGTAATACTATATTACTATTTTCAAAATCGTACTCACAAGATAATTAAAAAATGTTGATAAAATGTCAATAAATGTTTGGTTTCTTCAGTTGAATTTTTGAGTTGGAAAATAAAGCGATAACTGTTTAAATGTATTTGTAATTACTCATTAGTATTACTAAACAATTCGATTATGTTAAAAACTAGTACGTAACTACTAATTTCCAATTTCCGTCATCGGGTTTCTTCTGAAGTTAATTACAAAACATAATATAAAATATAAAATCATATCATGAAGACATAAAAATTCAAAATATTACAGCAAAATATTAGGTCAATTTTATTATTGAGTACTAATCTATTCATTTTTATTATAATTTGTTTAGTAAAATCATAAAATGTTTTGTTTATATTCAAAATACCTTTAATAACGCATAGAAGTAAATAAATTTCTAAAACCAAAATTGGTAATTTCTAGCTAAAATTCCTTATTATGTAGGTATAATGCCGAATTATTCAGCGAAAATAAAATTAAAACAGTTCAATATAAACAATAAATTCCTAAAAATTAAAAAATAAACTATTCTTCAGAATTAGCTTCTGATTGTTAATATTTAATTAAAATAAATAAATAATAATAATTACAATAATACGAATAATTACGTCGTTGGTGGAAACTCGTTGGGGAAGACGAAAACGCATTTACAATAATTGTTGGTCGTAGACCTTTTACAATAATATTAATTATTATTGTGTAGGGATATAAGTCTTATGGATTCTCACCCTCCCCGCCCGGCTATCCTACTTACCAGTTCTTATACACATTACACACTAAGTAACGTCATATTATTGTAGGGAACCCTCTAGACGACGGTTTATCCAATATTGTTCTCCCACCAGTTAACACTTGGAAGTACCTTCACTGTGCACAGTGTACTAGCTGTACCTACTTGGCAATATTATTTATATATATATATTATGTTATTATTGTAAAATAATAACGCGTGACGTATGAGAGAGGTATGAAAAAAGCGATTGTAGTCGCGCCCCTCTTGTTACGTCTCGGGGCCTCATGGTTGACGGAATGGTGTTGGGGGGAGGTATACTGCCGATCGGCCTGTATAATACCTGTACCGTGTAAAAGCCACAGTGAAAAGTAGTAGTAGTAGTAGTAGTATTACAGTAGTAAAATTGTAGTAGTGGTGGGATATAGTGTTATAATAACGTACCCACCTCCACCTCGTCCTCCTACCACGTTCTAATTTTTTCTTTACCACCGCGTGTTCCAGGTGGACGACGCAAACGACGATGAACAGAGCCAGCTGATCCAGAGTCAGTTGGGTTCGTTCGACGACGCCAAACCGTACTTGGACCTGGTGTTCAGCTGCGGAATCACCGGCATGCCGCCGAGTCCCGCTCCACCGCCGCCGCCGTCATCGTCGCTGTCCGTCGCCGGTATGATGCAACACCACCACTCGTCGACATCGTCGTATCCCTCCTCGTCGTCTGCAGCCATCTCCTCCGCAGCATCGGCAAAGTCACACCATCACGCCGCCACCGCCGCTGCCGCCGTGATCGGCCAACAACAGTCGTCGTCCAGGAGATCCGTGTCGCCCGCGTCCGGCGGTGGATCCGTGGCACCCGCAGTCACGGCGTCCTTTAAGAAACCGACCGTCACGTCGCACGCCATGGCTAGATCGTCGTCATCCGGGGGCGGCGGCGGCTCCTCTTCGTCGGCGCACTTTCAGCCACCCGCCAACCCACCCAGGTACGTTCCGAAACCGCAGTACAATATTACGTATATTATAATATTCATTATATCAGTGCTGGAATTGGAAGAAAGTAGAAGGTTGGTGCAAAAGTATGAAAATAAATTTGCTACGATCTGAATTTTTTGTTGAGTAACATGTAATTAGAAGGGGTACGTCAAGATATTTTTTTTAAAAGAAGGGGTACTCCGCCCTCCCTACGCATCCCCTCCAATTCTAGCTCTGATCATAATCAGTAATAGGTTATGGGTATCACGGCCATCGCCGCCATACCTCGCCGTGACGCGTGAATAGTTTTTAACTTTTACGTCTGGTCGGGATTTTTGATTAATTAATCGAAAAGCAAAAAATCCCACCGTCGAAACGTACTACGCGCTCTGACTAATAATTGTGTATCCAATTCCACGCGGACTTACAGTGGTGGTCGGGTTAATTCCGTTTTTAATTAAACTCTTGTATCCGTAGAATTAATTGCACATACACGCTAAATATGAACATTATGTATTTGTATAACATTATTAAATTACATCTTATTTAGTTCGTTCCGTTTTAACGTTTTCACTGGTTTTTACTACCACCCGCCTGTCATAACAGTGCGTTTCTAACGTTTCTTCGTATCGAACACGGCCACGATTTTTCAGTAGCACTCGACGTCGTTCCATTTTGTATTTAGAGAGGGGAGTGTGGTGGTGGTATTGGTAATATAACAACTGTTATGCTATATTCTTCACAAAGAAAGTCCAAAAAGGCTCATTTGACGATTACGTAGAACCCACTTTCCCCCCACTCCGGTCGCAATGAAAGTTTTTTTGTCAATCTAAGCCAGTCTTAAGTTTACCTTCGTTGTTGTCATTTTTAAGTCAGATTTATTTCAAATTTCAACCTGCATATTTATTCGTAAAAAATAATCAAATATATTATATTATCATTGTAATACGCTAGATCGTGCTAGATCTTAAATTCTTGTAGGCTTTGTATTTTATTATTTGATCTTTGTTATGTGCGTATGGGTTGAAGATTTAAGTTGTGGTTTATGTATTATGTGTAACGGAAATTATGTACATTTTGTGGCTATTATGAATTCATGATTTAATTAAATTAATTTAATAATTGTTGGTCCTTTTTTTTTCGTAAAACTTAATCCACGTCTACATTATTATAAGTTTTGGTATATTTCAAATGTATGATAGCTTAATTTCCTTATGCACTCGGATGTTTCATTTTTAAATATATTTTAATAAATCATTTAAATACTCAACTCAATCAAACCCGAATCATTTTTTATTAGAAGAATTCGCCTATTGTTTAAGTAGGTTTAGCTTACCTAGGTTAAATCTTTTACTCTTTTGTTCTTAATCCCCATGAACATAATATAAAACTGTGGAAGACTGAATGAGATGTTATGCTTTTTTTAAATGTTAGCAGTATCTAATAACATTGATTTTAAGATCAATGCTAACAATATACATTGTTGTAACTCATGTTTCACGCATACGATTCTAGAAGTATACCATATAATATTTTTTTATAATTTATGGCGTTTAATTTTCATATCTATTTCAATAAATTAAGTACATTATTTATATGGACTTATGTATTTTTATAAATGGACTATGGCCATTTTACGTAACTGTTGTGTCAGAAATATTTTATAATTTGATAATATAGTATAAACATATTTATTAATTAAAATTGAATGGGATCCCAAATTGTAAAATAATTTATTTTCGTTATATTATATAATAATAATTATTGATATGGATGATTGATCAAATATTAATTATTAGCTATAAATTGAGTGTGATAAGTTTGAAGTATATGTAATTTATGCTTTTATGTATTATTTAACCTAGTTTTGCAAAATTTAATATAGCCAGATACCTATACCGAATACCTAATGATAAACTGTTTTAAAATTAGGTTTTGTTTGTAAATGTTGTGACTAATTACAGTAAATATTTAAACACAAAACTAGTAGATAATATTTAGTTGGGAATTATAATTATTTTACCTATTTTAAAAATTAAAAATTAACTTATTGAGGTTAAATTAAAATGTTATGTGTGCTGTGCCTAATGAATTAATTTTCGTTGAATTTAATCGATTTAATGTATTCTTATATTTATCAATGCTCATTGTTCAATATTAAATTTATTGTTAGGTAAGGTTCTATAGTATAGGTTTTTTGCATATATTATAATTGTATTTTTTCTTCTCTTGATTATGCACATATTTTTATCTACCTTTATTATATAGTTAATGCGTTAATGGCATTTTAATTTCGTTCGTTGTTTTTATCATTTTTCTGATAATTTTCAGTTCAAATTGCAGTAAACAACAGAACCTTATTTCGGGGAGGGGGCTAAACTATTTAAATTCGTTTAAAAGTTTCATTTAATTTCTAAATTCCAAACACTAATCACCTTGTTTAATAGGTATTATAATTTAGCTTATAATAATATACCACACTAGATTGCGAAACTTTGATCGGAGTATTGAACTCGGTTATACCTCAGGATGATAACCATTGAATGTCTTAAATTTAAACTTCGATTTACGATTGCGGATTATTATTTGGCATCGTCAAATAGAGAGAAGAAAGAAGAAAATCACTCAAGCGGTTTACGAGACTAAGCAGTTCTTTATATAATATGTATAATATAAATAGAGGAACGAAGAGGACGAAAATAATCCGAGAATTGCCGTGCAGAATAGGTGAATAAATGTTTCAAACTAAAAGTCGTTTTAGTGTACAAAACTATTGATAAATCCGAAACGTGGATGGCGCTACTCTATACCTTGCAGTAGTAGTTATGTAATGAAATATTGTATATATTCTACGCGGGATAAGGGGATAAAAGTGTCCAAATAATAATATAAAAAGGGGATAAAAAAGTATTTTTTACCGAGCGTAAAAAGGTGAGCAATCAATAAGCAGAAAAATGTATCTCTTCCACTGCTGAAAAAGGAGAGGGAGCAATTTTCACGTATGAAGAAGACAAACGGCAAAGTGTCTTAGGTAGGTACATCGATTGTTTTATATATAACGTCGTGTCGGACCCCTTCATGTCGGGGCACGAACGCGTTTTGGTTATCAACGCTTTGCATTCACTGGTCACCTTGTTATAATAATATGATTATGATCATTATTATTGTTATTATCAAGCGTAGACGAAACTAAACACTTTAAATAGCTTGGGTCAACCTAATGGACTGGAGGCCCATAGGTCATAAATATGTATAAATTATAGACATAAGACGTGAATAAAACGTGTATTATTATTTAAAGTATAATAGTTGTTTATACAAATAAGAAACGACTAATGAGTAGTCATAACAATTTATGAATGTTACGATTTTTTTTAATTCTTCGAAATTTATATTTTTAAAGCCATTGTCAAAATGGTACAAGTTCTATCAGTTTGCACTATCGGCGGTTTTAAACGTTGTTTTTCAGTTATTTATTATTATCGAAGAAACGTATTTGATTTCATCAATACACGGACCAGATGGGTTGTAATATAATTTCGGATAATATTATGATATCGGTGATGGTGTTATACATCATGTGTGCTATTGGCAATCATTGAAATCTGATATTCGTTTCGCGCGATAGACGTCCACGACAACAAACACGGAGACATCACCGGCGACGAAGACGTGTCGATACAATGAGCGTTATAAATATTGTGTGCGCGAGTCTGAAACAGCTGAGCGGTGTCGTCGATCACATGTGTGGTGCGAGCGTGACGTCATATCATATATATTTTAGCTTCGATAAATTTCCTTTCAAATAACATTTACGCTAAACGAAAACTGTATTATACATTCATACCTGCCGTTGGTGTACACATCATATTATACACACAAATACACGACATACGTATAGTGTCACTCTGTTGTTAGTTGAATTATTATTTACAGTATTTTACACGTTTAAAGTATTAAAATGATTGTAATTGATTGACTTCTGTAGTCCGATCGATGGAGTAGGTACTAGATATACGATAAGTAAACGACTAACGAGTAATTTTTTATCATATTATGCGTATACCCACGTATAATTTTACATTTTCACTACATTATGTACCGATATTAAACTGGAATTGGTGGGTGCGGTACCTACTCAAATGCTCAAACTAAACACGATCGGTTGTGCAATGAGCTCAGACGAAAATAATATTTAATATTATTACATGTATACGATATACCATTATCATTGTTGCGTGAACATTTGAACGTTGCCGATTTACCTTCGTCGCGTATTAAGGGGAAAGAAAAAAATTATTGTTTTCAAAATTACGTAACTGTATCTATTGACCACCGACGTCATCATCGTTCGAACAATTAAGTCAATAATATTTTAAAAGGAAGTTTGTTTTGTATGTATTATACAGGGTACCGCCACCCACCTGCCACTTACGTGCACGCCCAACCTATTTTTATCTGGTTGAAAATTTCAAATTGTTATCAAGTGAAAGCGGTTCTCTTAAGTGATTGACCGCCGCCGCCACCACCGTTTCGGTGATAAAGACCTTGGCCCGGTTGTGGTCTCTAGTTCTATGATATGGCGACGCGGTGGTTGTTCATGTATAAAGGCGAAATGTATTTAATTGTCTCGGAAAAAAACGAAAAAAAAAATTAAATTAAATTACTTCCTCACAAGTTGTACGCATTCGGTACCATGTATAGTACGACACGTGTATGTGGTTACCACGGTTACTTTTGAATAGAAATCAATAGGCTCATCAAACTCAAGTGCCTTCTCCTCGTGGTCCTGACGGTAGTAGAACGACAATATTATGCGGATATTCAACGACGGCGTTTACGATGGAAAAGAATGATCTAATTGATTTACAACTAACTAACTTAATTAACCCCTGAAGTTCATGTGGATAATAAATTAAAAATATACTTTCAACTAATATATAATATTATACCTATATCGTACATGGCTTTTAATTTATTATCTTTTTCACCCACGCGTGTCGCCTTAAAATATAACTTACTAATAAGTGTTATTTTTACAATCCAGATATACCTCGTATGCCGGGCTGCAAATATTGTAATTACACAGGAGACAAACATTTTATTCGATAAAAAACAAAAATATTTGCAGTGCAGAGTAGAGTATCTTTTTTAGTTTTTAATTATTGTTTGAAACTTGATTAAATTTTAATCACGTAATAACTAAATTTGTATCCGGTTATATAACAGCTTTTATACATAAAAAACTTACTATTTTTTGTTCTAATGGTAAGTATTAATCAATTTTCAAGTGAATGTTTCTTTTTCTTATAAATAACGAGTTGTAGATTTTAATTTTATTCAGTTCATCTAATAAAACATAAATTTAATTTCGTAAGCCACGCGCACCCGTTTTTGTATTAAAGGAAAACTAGTATATATAGTGTCTCGAGAAAAGTTTTTTCTCGTTACCGGTTTTCAAAAGTTTGCAATAATTATGCATAATATATATCATACTCCTCCTTTCTCGCTCGGTACGACGCATAAATTATAATTCATCCCATCGATTATTAAACGATTACCCGCATACGAATATTATGCAACAATATAATAACCGCAAAACAGCTGCTGCTGCTGCAGTGATATATATAATATTTTATACACATAACTTCCTCCTTATAGTTCTATCCTAGAGAACGGACGCGCGTAGTCTTATCATAACGATAGGTATTACGTATTTACGTGTACGATGTATATTATAAACGTATCGACTGAAGTGCGTTATAATATCGAATAGCCGTTATTATAGTTTCCATATTATATCGTATACCTATAGACTATATAGATTATAGAATAGTTTTTTTATAGATTGAAAAATTCTATACGATTAGTTATTAGCGGGTGTATTATAATTTCCGTTCGCTTTAAATGTTGGAATAAATACGCTTTTATTTCCTCTGAAAAAAAAAACGCTGAAATGTCAGTCTCGTGTATTACGTCGGCGGATGCGTTCCTGGGGCGGAATAATATTATGTTTGTTATTTTAGTGTATAGTCGGCTGCTATATACGACGGGAAATAAAAAAGTTCTGTCCGAAAGTGCGCGTTGTAAACACAAAACGTTCGGTCCGCCCACCCGACCCTTGAAACATAATTTTCTTAATGATGTTAATGATATATAAAAGTACTAGGCCACTGACGAGTGGGTGGCCAGAACGGGGTTCCCAACATCCTCAGCGTATTGCCTGTTTATCGGATTCCCGATCGTAAAACGGCATACAAAAAGTGGCAGCGTAGGCGTGTGAAGGAATCCATTACGTTATTGGAACTTGATGAGTGAGAGAACATGGGCATAATATAACCGAGTGTGTGCAGCATTGCACACTACACAATGCAATGCAGTACTTTTATCAACCGCGGTCGTAGTAGTATACACGTCCACGAATGGCGACGATCACACTGTAACTGTGGTGCGTAGGTATATATTATTATTGTTATACTGTCGGAGAATGATCAATGGGTGTATAGAATATTATTATCCTGCGGAGGTCGGAGTTAGATCATACCCTGTCGCGACCATCCTAGTAATAATGATAATAATAGTAAGTACCTATAATAATGTTATGCGAATATTTTCCTCTCTCAGCCCGATAGCCGGGAGACACATAACGGCGTCATTTCCCCAGCCACCTAGCTCGTGCACGAACGTCCATTGGTGTATCCGATGACAATCGTTAGGTGGGACGGAGCGGGGAACCACTATCATCACTGCACGTGTAAGAAGATGAGAACTTCGATTGCTGAAACGAAAATAAAAAAATTAAGAGATGAGACGATAGTATATCGTATATAAAGGTTCCGATTTTCACAGGTGCACGTTCGTTGATCACAATGTCGCATCGTTGTATTTACTCTGCGGTCACCCTGAATAAGTAAATTGTAGAGGTTTACGTTTTGATATTTAAACATCATAATAATATAATATGATATCATCATGCCCAAACACGCGTTTGATATCGTATGTAATTAATTTCTGAGTAAACATTAACTGAAGTAAAAAAACTGCTTGAGTACGTACTCGATAAAATTACTGTATTTATATAGTATTTAGTATTTACTGACGTTATTTCGAGGACGTGTGGTTCGTAACATCATGTTCAACGTTAGTGTACGTTATTATTTACACTGCAGTCTATTAATTTATTGTTCTGCCGCTGTATGCGTTCGTATAACAATATAATAATCCGGCACGCAAGATCGGCACGTTTTCGAAAAATAACCTAGTAAACGGATGTTTTAATCGATTTCTATATTGAATCGTGTCTCCGTGGCGGCTGCACTAAGTATTAGATTAAGACAACCTAATAAAGCAATGAAATAATTTCAAATTCGAATTAATTTTTATTGTATTCGTTTCACGGTAACTCGTAATTTTATGTCCCGTTTGACCTCTAAACAGGGTATATTACATTGTGCATATCCCGAGGGTAACATTAAATTTTTTCATGCAAATTGCAAATGATTGTGTGCGTGTTGCCGTGTTACACGTGCAATATATATTATTAATCCTATAGCCACATACGTTTTGTGAATAATTCTGTTTTATCCAAAGAACAAGTTACCGTGTTTTATAACAACCACTTTACTACCAGGAAATGCGTTCTACTTTGGAATTCAAAATTCAATTTGTTGTAACAATTAACATTTGTTGTTCCCGTTCTTTTTTTTTAAAATTGGTGATAGATTGTCTTACGTTTTGACTTCATTATTGCATTACATATTTTATACTATCAGAAGTCTAAGTGTGTAATATATAATAATGATTGAATTATATAAATTGTAGTTTTTGAACCCCTTTTTTTTTACCTTTTAAAAATTTTATTATATACTCCTATAAAGGTGACATAATTAATAAAAATTTTATTTCTAACCACCATTTTTGGATAAAAGGCTTAAAACTCCAAGGTTTGATACTCCAGTTGTTCGAAATCCCTTCATATTTAACAATCCTTTCATCAAATTAATATTCTTGATTTATAGTTTTGACGTTATATGATTTTGTTTTAATGTCAAATGTTTGTTGACTGTAATTATATTATTTGTTATTAATTTACCAAGTATTAAATAATTATAATTTATGATGAAATTAACATCGTTTTTGCAAAAAAAGACGCGATATATTTTTTTTTATTATTTCACGTGATCGAATGTCGGTTTATTTTGAATTGTGCTATTTAAATATGGAAAATGCGTGTACAAATTTATGTCAAGGCTGAGAAAAACATTTTTAATTACAATTCTGTAATTTTGTTGTTTAGTCATTATTAATAGCCTACAAAATTTCAATTAATACACATTTCAACGTTACACACTTGGTCGACGTAATATTATGCAGTGTTGATTTCAAATTAAACACTTTACGCAGTGGGTACCCGATTAACGGATAATCAGTTGCACCAATTCAACAGATTCAACGTCACTTCGTTAAAAATGCAGTATATAGATAACAAACAGTGAAATCGATTTTTTTTATTGATTTTTTTAATCACTTGTAATTAATAATTATGACGATAACTATATAAAAATATATATCAAGTTTGCTCAGTGCACCGACTAAAATGCAAAAAAAGTTTTTATTTACAAGTAGATTTAACCGACTTAAATATGTATTTATATAGTGATGCACTCGTGTCTGTATTACCAACACAATGCGAGTTACGTACTGCAAATTAATTTAGCGATTAAATATTACTATCATTTATGCGAGAAGGAATAATAAACGCACTCGCCAAAATCACCCAGAGAAGAGCCTCCTTTTAAACTGTACCTAGTGACACCGGCGTAACCTCGAACGATTGCCAAATAACGTTTTAAAAAATTATCGCTAATTTAGGACGAAACAAGGTTGTCTGCCGGACGGCTGTTTATTTGAATATTTATTCATGCAAGCTGATATCTGTGCGATAAATCGTCAAACGGATTGTAATGTACTAGTAAATGTCGTATTCGCATATTTTTCGAATAAAATCGTCAGTGTAGTTGTGCGGTTGTTGAACATTCGTCGAACACCCGGGAGAATGACCTAAATAGTAAATACCTAATTAGAATCTTTGTATGCACATAATAATAAAATAAATTATATCGAATGCGGCGCCGAAATACGGGGACACTCAAAATTACTTGGTTGGGACGATTTCTTCTAAAAAGTTTGTCGGATCAATCGTGTTGTCACCGCCGCATGATATACGATTACGATCGTGTTCGATACCTACGTCACGTTTTAAAATATCTGAGAATCTTTGGTGTCTAAAGGTCAAGGCATCTTCTGCAGTGTATAAGTACTATAAAAAAAATAATAATGACTTCGCGGTTTTTGTATGAATAGAACATATCGTTCACCACGACCTTCGGTGGCATGTGTTTAGTAAAAAACCCAGGTCACAGTGTCTTACAGTTGTTGTATATTATATTCATGTGACGTCGTGTATTTTATGGTTATAACTTATATGCTAACGTGATCGCGCTTAAACGTAATACTAAATGTGATTGAAATCCGTCGTCGCCTCTTTTTTAAAATGAAAATGAGTTAAGCCGAACAGAGGATAATATTATAATGGATTTTCGTTTGTTTTACAGGAGCAGTAACTTTTTGAAACCTGGTGAAATGAAGCCACCTTACTCGTCGATGAGTCGATCGACGAGCAGCAACATGAGGAGTAGCCATTCTTCGCACCACAGGCCAACACACAAGCCCAACCTTGCCATATCAAATGTAAAGAATGTAAATAGGTTTTCACAGTTTTATCGCATAGGCGCAAATAGTGGTGGGTAAGCCGAGCCCACCCTGTCCGTTGAATAAAGCTCTCCCCTCAAAAATTTTTTTTACACCAAATTGGAATACATAAAAACATTTTCATTCCTACATCAAAATCTTGAGCACCCCTCTCCTAAATCCCAAACACCATTTGCGCCCATGGTCTTACATCCCATCTTATATGTGATGTGTCTATTCTCGCATATTATATTTCAGTTTATTAATATATTATTATGTTTATGATTTTTGCAGAGTCATAGTTCAAACGATACCAGCACGCCCAGCACGATCGAAGACATCCTAAACGTGAGTAATTGTGCATTATATAATATATTTTATTATTATGTACATTGTACATCGCTCAATGTCGTCTTACGTATCATCTGTTCTTTATGATTACAGGAAATGACCGTAGGTCTTCCGCTTGTGTCGGACATCGCAGAAACTCCGAGGGTCTCGATCGTCGACTCCAAGTACACCGCAGATGGAAAGGTGGAACCGCAGCAAAGGATGAGTCCCAAAGGTAAGCTCATACACATAGTGTAAACGCATTTTTTGTTCGAGATCTATCGCTGTGATTACTAGGTCATAACCAAGTACCACCACCATTATACTGCAGGTGGTTATAACCGTAATGTTACTGCTATCTTTACACGCACGGCTTAATAAATTCTAATCTCGATATCTCTCGGGTGCAGGTTTCTCTCCACCATCGCCGCCGCGATGGAGTATTCTCGCTGAAACTTCGCGTTCTTGACAAACTATTACCGAATTGGTAATTTTGAGTCTTACAAACGATCAATTATTATAACATCGTTAAAATTGATTTTACTACCCTCCCTAATTGCTGTGTAACAGTTCTCAGATATCGTCATTATCAGCCATAGTGAGTGTATATACCTGTGGTACCAGCTTTCTGTATCAATATAATAATAACCCCTTTCGCGTAATTTGTTAAACACACACACGACGGAGTCAGGCAACAACGTAATTTACTTGGATTTAACTGTGTTTGTTTTATGAGATATTTAGTAAGTTTATCATCGTTATCATTCGCTATTATATTATTAATGTAGTGTATAATATATAGTATATACCATCATACATCAATAATTAATCTCACTGGAGTCAGCCGAAAATCTTACTCTTTAATTTTGTTGGTAAAACATTTGTAGTGTCACTGCCGGTAGATTGCCATTGACTGCATTAACGTCTATGCGGTTTTTATTTCAAACGCTATGAACTTGTTTCGTAATGCTATATAGTAACTAAAAATTGTATTTAATTTTTTTAAACAAGATGCCATCGAGTCTTGAGGAATCGGTGTTCACATTTTTTATTTTCTATACTGTACCTACGTTAAGACCAGCGTTTTTTTGTTTTGTTTTTTTTTCGCCAACGTAAACACATACACACATTTGCTTACGTACTACATTCTATTAATAAACTCTCGTGAGGTTGGGTGTCCATCGTGTGATCCCCTCATCTCCCTCTATCTGGTTACCGCTCCGTTATCGTCATTGTCACCGCGTTGACCTACCTGACGCCTTTTCGCTTTAGCCCACGGTACTGCTGCCTCGTATTTTTTTCATTTCAACCCAATTTCTTATTTTAAATTAGTATGAGTTCAGATAATTTGTATCATATGCAATTTTTTTGTACACTATTGCCCGCGATGAGTTGATAAAATATAAATAAATATAAACTATCTCATTATATTTAACCATATATACAAGCTAAATCACTTAATTTGTATTTTGTTTATAAGTAATTTTTTCAAAATCACCATTTAAATATTGTATAAATTAAAATAAATATTTCAACGTTATATTATATATAAACTAGTTGTTAAACGAAGTTAAAAAAATAATCTTAATGCAAATAAAAAATGTCTTATTTCGTGAGACGTGAGTCCACTTGTATTACATTTTGCCCGTCGGTGTAGGTAATATAATATTATTATAGTGTACAGTACAGTATAATATAATATCTTAGTGCGTCTTGTGTTTCTATCGAATGTACGTCATCGCAGACACCCGGTTTTTGCGGATAGTGTATTTCACTGTGCGTTGTATAATATATTATTATTGTTATGATTTATTATTTGTTCTATATCGAATTTCAAAATTCCCTTCCATTCGTCTTGACCTTTACGACGAGGGCTTTGCGATTGGTTCGAAAACTCACGACTGCTTCAGCCGATAAGGGTTGCGGGCTTCATGGTGGGAGTGTGGGCCAAACACATTTGGATCGTAACATGGGGCGTTGTTCCGTCAAAACTCTCAAAATATGTGTGCAGTGTGCACGAAAAAAGAAAATCATAAATCTGGAAGAAAAAAAGTAAATCCTTAAATAAATCTGTCACGCTCAAGTCTTCGGGGAGAGGTGTATAATACGTATATACAATATACGATGGTAGGGTACACATTTGTATGTTCACGGCGGAGGGGTTCCCATCGGCGCACGTATATTTATATAATATATATATCTCTACTTGCATTAATACAATAATACTACTGGAGAACTTTGTCCGTTTTTCTAAATATTGATTTTTTTACTAGATACCAATTATTAGACTTGCTGCTTTTTCAAACAACGATCGCGTCTAATTATTTCTATATTATATTCATACACGCTATTATTTTAATAATGCCGTTATAATAATTTATAATCTCATACCTTATGTATAAAAAAACTCTTCGGGTCGCTGTTGGTCAGACCTAATTTAACTTTCAAACATGATTATGCACAAATACCGTCACCGTCTAGCTGTAGAATTTTATACATTTTATACGTTTATTATGATTTATAAAAAAAACTAGGTCAAATTGTCGTCAGACTAAACATATTATATTAATATAGTTAGATAGATTACTTTGGTGTAGGTATAGGTAGGATGGTAATGGCGGTGATCGTAAATATAGTCACCGTCGTTAAAATATTTAAATTTTCTTTTTTCTTCGGAAAAGTACGTCGTGACAAAATAAAAAAAGGAATCCTCCCCGCCACCCCTGACAGTGTATACCGTCGCCGGGAACGGTACTTTGTCGCGAGGGGTGGCATACGAAACAGGCACCATCACAATACGCTATTTTGTACATAATATTATGTTATATTCGTATAGCGGGCGCGCTCTGTGTATGTAGTAAAATATCGACGGCGCCACACGTGTTCGGCGGACCGTTTGCGACGGCGTGGCCAGGTGGGCGGTCCCTTTTCCGGGGTGGCGTCCACCCCCCCCTCCCGCCCAGTAGACGTTTCTCTCTTATCCAGAGTAATGTATAATAATATTGTACCAACCGTTCGCCCTTATCATGCCACGTTCACCCCTTACTAACCTTCGTTTTAAAGCGTTTTTATCGTCATGTTGTTTTTTTAATGCCAATAATGTGACATTGTGACTGATCAGCTTAAAGATATTTGCGCGCGCTCTATCCAGCACGTCGCGATGAAGCGGGTATCTCGCCCGTGATATGGTTTATACCGCACGCTTGTCCAGAACAACCGTCGGATCATCTTTTGTTACGTGTTCTGTTGATGATCGTATATACCTGGAAGCCTCTGACTTGTAATTTTACGGCGAAAGTACAGCCTCGAATCCCGATGATTGAGATCAACGCTTGATATTTTAATCCGTGAACTAAAAAATAACTACCTACTTGCTACTTACATTTGCCTTAATTGGAGTCCATCGAGTATCGTTTGTTTTCGGTCAAATTCTTAAAATAGTAATGTCTATGTATTATACACGTGGAACGTGGAACGAGTTGCCAAAATAATAATACGATCCCTTCGCCTCGCCTTTGTGCATAATAAACGTGACGTTTTCTCACATTTAATTTCACTGTAGTGTCGGTGATATTAAATTTTTTTATTATTATTTTGGTCGTCGGGTAAAATATTGTGCGTGTGCCAATATTCTTTGATACCTTCGTCCTAACTTCTTTGTCGTCTAGAAAAAAAATCCATTAAAAAAATTAAACCCTGAAATATATAATAATTACGGTGTTACATTTCATGTCCATTCAACGTTCTACTGATAATAATTTGAACCGTGAGAGTGTGTGATGTATAAGTGACGTAAAATTACGCGTTTCTATTTCTCGCCCAAGGTTAAGATATTTCTTTTGAATAGGTATTGGCTTATCGTTATCTTCAAACTTTTTAAGTACCCAATATTGTCAATAAAATCGATGAGCCTTATGGTGTTTAGCCGAATATGATAGAATATGTTAGGGTGAGAGTACATTTTATTTTGTGACCGGAAATATTTACTAATATTTATAGATTTATCAAATTATTTATATATCTTTTGTTGTAAAATGTATTAAGGAATTAACATATCAGCTAATGTGCGGTTGTGCTCGACTAGAAAGAGATAGTTATTAAGTATGAGTAGTGTACACATATAGACTCATCAAACCCGCTGTAAATCAAGAAATTGATGAATTTTAACAAATTAGTTTAAATAAATTCAAATTATGAGTAATGAAAAATGAAATGCTATATATAGGTACATAAAAATACTCCTTCCTTTAAATATTCACAACAGTTTTATTAGATTATCAAGCATATATCTTACAAAATTGGCACAAGTACATGTTAAATTATATAATACTAATACTAAAAATTTACTTTTTAATCACTCTGGTGGAATTCACGGAGAGTAACCTAATCTATAAGGCATTGATAAAATATTGCCCAAACACATGGATTATGGAATATATAAATATTTCTCAAACACAACAATATCTTAACATTATTCTCTCAGACTGTAATTTTTACCTAACCATGGACACTGCCTAAATCCAAGTAGGTATACTTAACATAAATCATTATATAATCGTCTGAAATATTGATATGTGTAAATCAATAATTTTAATAATGACTCGATTTCATTAAAATACTACGGACGTAAAGAATACATAAATACTGTCACATCGATGTGGCAACTAAAATATTTTAATCTACATTTCATTATGATGCTATAGGTACATTGGTAATGTATACGTGGACCCATAGATAATTACCCTTAGGAGAGTTCATTTAAATTTAAGTACCACAATCTCAGTTGCACATGTGTTGATTTCAACCTTAACTTTTACAGGATATTTACTCTGTGTCATTTAATTTCAATTTATTTGTTTATCTCTTTATTCTATTTTTATCCTAGCTCATGAGCGTGTAATTGTTCTATTGTTAAATTGAAAATTTAGATAAAGGGTCTTGGTTAATCATAGCAATTTTAAATTTTAAATTTTGAATATTGTCAATTGTTGATTATTTTAAAATTAATATTTAAAAAAAACAAAACAATTTAATGTGAGCATGTATTGTTCAGGTTTGGATTGGTTTTATTGTCGAATTTGTATGTAATAATAATATTAAATTAGTATAATGACACATTTCATATGAATTAATGAAGGTAAAACCTGAGTATAGTTCACACATGACAATGAATTGTTAAACTTCAGATATCTCAAGCTTCTATAATGATGTGTATGTACAGAACAATAAACACAATAGCACATACATAACCGACATACGTGTACTAACACTATTATATTATAATAAATAATGCTAAGTATTTTATTTAGAGTTAAATATTGTGTCAACGACTCTGAGATAAGTGCTATTTTAATCCAATCAATTGAACGTTTTATATGTACCGAAAGTCGTCGAAAAGATATTAGTCGTGATATCGATATTCGATATGCTGGTTTTCTACGTTGTCAACATTTCAATAAATTATGTAAATCCGAGTAAAATTCTTTTACGAAACTATAATTTTTTCGCCTTCGAGTTTTATTATTAAAAAGTCTGTAAAGAAATCAACATTTGGGTAATTGTTAGTCATGTCTTAAACAACCGGGAAACCGTCTGGTCTATTTATCTGTGTAATTGTTTCATAGTGGTGGAATATGTTATCCTGGCAGTGAATGATATGTACGCTACAATATTAAACATTATCTTCGTAAATATATTATAAATATGAAATGTTTACTGGTAAAGACTAAATACTATACGTTTATACTATAATATAATGCTATCAGTTCAGTATCGACCACCGCTATGTAAGGACATACACGAAACACATGTTGTGGCCGCGTTAACGAGATATTTATTTTGTAGTATTATCTTAGTCTTTGCGTCTATCTATAAACGTTTTTACTTTTTGCAGAATTCAATTTTCAAACAATCTATTCTAATCATCCAGTTCTCGCATTTATAATATTAAAATAAATAATTATGATTTTTTTTGGAACGAAGTTCTTTTTGTTTGAAAATCGATGTGTGCGAAAACATTTAACCATCGTTTAATTATATTTCAATTAATACACTCTGATGAAAACTACTTTCAATGAATCGCATTAGTATGAATTATGAATAATAATTGTTTAACACTTTTTACTTACCAACTATATTGCTGTTAGTAGTATAGTAGTGTAGTAGCCCTGGGTAACACTTTATTACGCCTATGATTTTACTGCTTTGTATGTTAAGTCTATAAATTATTTGTTACAGATTTTGCCTTTTAATAAGGTTCACAAAAATCATATTAATTCTTGTCCTCTGTCAGCCTTTTCAACCGCTGCGAACGTTCCGCAAATTATTGGCCTACAAAATGTTTGTCAAACTACGTCGTAATTAAATGTTTCAAACGTTAGCCGTTGAGGTGTCATTATTATATTTCTAGTCCAAAGATTAAATTGAATAATTCTTGAGTGTTAATTACTAATTTATGATTATGCATAATTACTTATTTAACAAACCTTTTGTCGAAATCACTACAGTAGTCAATTCATGTTTAAACATTTTGAATTAAAATTAAGTTAAATGTGTGATATGTAATAGGAAGTGGATGAATAAAGTCGTTTTCGTTTTGAGCGAATTAAATTTTCATTGATATCTGGCCGGACGTAAGATGCTTTCTTTCTACAATCGGTATAATATTTATCGTGTACCTCTCGGCGTAAGCACATTAAACAAATCCGATTATACTTATTTGACCTGGTCGAAAAATTATTGTGTTGACTAGCCTTTTCCATTATTTGATGTAGTTAATATTTAATGGCCATTAATAAATCACCCAAATCAGGAAATCATGACGTAATATAATGCAAATGATATACCATGTACAGTATATACAATATACATTATACTCTAATATATGTAATTATAAGCTTATAACTTACAAGTAACTTACAAGTAACTTACAATCTTCTTTTCTTTTGATTATATCTACATACTTAAACATGTACTATAGTTTGATTCGTATTCGTATTTTACCATCGTGTACTCGTGTCGTCTGTACTCAGTAAATCAATAAATAAAAATGTCCTCTGTAGGTCGATGGGTCTTGGGTGGTAATAAAATCCATAAAAATATAAAAGCATTACAAGATTAGTCTCACAATAACACACTATAATATGATGGAAACATAACATCGAGTAAGGTAACCGACTTGAACCGAAATATGTCCTATTGTGATTATTGTGATCAGATTTTCGATTTGTTGTTGCCATGCACATTCATTAACGTCTCCACGAATATTTTCAACCATTGAGTCGCACCGCACGGGCACCCTGCTTCCGCGGTGCACAATAAACGGAATTCGCGTTGCGCGTTTTTAGATTTTTTTTACTTTCCGTGATCTAAATAACGCAACCCACCGCGTGCCCAGGTCATAATAATTTCGTAAAAATCGGTGGGGGACAGTGTTTCGATTCGTTTTTATGCGTGCGTGCGTCTTGTAGACATTGCAGCTGTTGCAGTGGAGAAAAAAAATTAAACACAAAAACCAGATGCTTGTGTTTTTGTTTTCTCGTATAATAATATTATGCGCGTGTGTACGTGTCTATAGTCTAGTAGAAAACTCGCGGCGACCAACAGGTAATATATTTAAAAAAAAACTGTGGACCGTTCCCGCGCGAATTTCTCGCTATGTATATATTTAAATCCCGCGGGGTGTGACGGTGTACATCGCCAGTCTACCCTAGATATATCGCTATTATTATTATTATTATTATTATTATTATTATTATTATTATTATTATTACGAATACAATGCGTAATATACGACGAGCTTATATTATTATGTGTATACTAACTCCCCCCCCCGACTTTAATCGATCCCTTTTTCCTCTCCCATCCGTCCACTGTTCCCCACGATATATATTATCTTGAACCGTTCGCTTGCACCGGTTTATTATTAAATATACGCGACGGGATTTTGTAGTGGGGTAGTACGTGCAGTTGCAGTGGTGGTGGTAGGTAGTCGTCGTCGTTCGTCGTACTGCAGTTGTATTGTGTGTAGTAAAAGAGGGTCGTCGCCGCGACGTGCGTGCTCGGTGATTCACATGGCCGCCGTCGTCATTGTACCGGTCGCATTTATTGTCGTAGCGTTTATTAGACGTCATTATAATATGATTGTGTGTCCGTTTTAGACGCGTCCGAGAGCCTGAAAAAAATGCTCGGCGAACCCAAACAACTGTTTGCGGATCCCGTGCACAGAAATCCACAGCCATCGTCGCACGGCGTCTCGCCGGACGCCGCTGCTTCCGTCTCGGCTGCAGCAGCAGCAGCCGCCGCGGCCGTGCCCATGGACGCCAAACCGTCGGGGCCGTACAACCACTCGCTGTTCGCATCGTGAGTATATTTAAAATCATAGACCATAGTACATAATATTAATATATGACTAGTATTAGCGTATTTATTTAGATTATATTATTTAAAGTGGTGTGTCGTCTAGCTAGTACTATTTAAATTTTTACTAGTTATTATTAATTTTATTTTTCATTAACTTAAATTCGTTTATATATTTTTTAAATTAAGTCCGGTCACTATATTTGTGATAAATATTACGGTCGTTTCGGTCTAGACAATGAATTCTCACAGGTATATTCCGGCTTTGGTCTTTATTGTAGTGTATAGTAACGATGTTATTGTTGACTTTTGACGCTAAAAGATTTTTTTGTTACGTTTTTGCAGGTACATGGTTAAACCGTCGGTCAGAGGGTCTAACATAATATCACAACCTCAGCAGACGCAACTGATGCAGGTAAGTCATAAGCAATTGGCTATTTTACCTTCCGGCTTAATCCCTTTCTCTTCTTCCTGGTGTAGGTAGTTAATTTTTTTATCGTTTTTTACCTAAAATATATTGTTATTGTAGGAATCACAGCAGTTGTCGTTATCTCCACCCACTGACAAGATCCGCCGGAGTTCCACGTCGACCAACGTCATATCGTCTGACACAACCAACTACAGTTCCACAAAGTGAGTTGTGTAGTGTGTATTACAGTAATACTATTATACAACAATACTGTGGTGTGCTTTCGCTCGCTAAGTTCGCGTTTTGATCTTTTATGATACTTACGACCTCGGCGTGTCTGTAGGGCCGACAAGACCAGTAGTGACATGTCCGTGGATGAGGACAGCTCGTCCAGTGAAGAAGGCGAGAAGGACAGTAGTTCGGATAGCAGCTGTAGCGACAGTGAGAGTAACGACGAGAAGAAGGACACCGTCCCACCGGCGGCCGTTTCACCGCCCCCGCAAGAGGAACAGGAAGAAGAGCCCAAGTGGTATCTGAAAAACTTTTTGAAAAAGAGCACGCCCGACACGAACAACACGACCAGGACGTCACAACAGGTGAGAGTTTTTGCGGTGGCTTTTCTTAATAATTACTGTTAAGTCGATTAATCTAGGACGCGTTGTAGGATCGTTATTCGTCAATTCGGTGTAAATATATTATATATGTAATATTATGCCTCTTTCAACTGTAATTTGTAGGCTCTCACGGGTACAACCCACTGAGATGTGTATCTTTGAGTCAAACCCGATCCACCCTTGATAATCTTAAATCATATTTTCGATAATTTATGAACAATTTTGTACGTCACTTCAAACTTAATAATATCCATTGACGTTTGCCACGGACACGTGTGTTAAACATTTGTAGTATTCTAAAATATATTATGTTAGCATGCCAGTGTGTTTTATCATAGAAAACCATTTTTGTTGATTACACACACAATGTTGTATTCAACGTGATCGCAACCCGTTGGTAGTTGTCACGTGACGGTCGTTGAAACGAGGTTTAGCCTAGGACGAATGCTGTTGATATTACAGCATTCTCATCAGAGCTCATCGTTATTTCTGTAAATGTTCTTATTATTATTTTATTTTTTATCTTCGTCACTTAACTAACACAGTAAGAAAACAATTTTTTTATGTTATGTCTATATCGTGAAACGCTATTATCAACAAAACACCTTTAATCTGCATCGGAAATGATCTTTAACCGATAAAAAGTTACATTATTGCTTTAATGTTTATTAAAAACATTGCTTACACAACGAAAATTTTGTTGAATTTTAATAAAATGCGTTGAATATGGTTGTTTGATAAACGAAATTTTTAACAATCACGGTCGGACTATAACCGACCTAACCTTTAATCTTAAGGGAGGAATATAAGGTTAGATTAGTGGGTTAGTCTCTCCTCCATAAACTGCCTAAGCACTGCAAAATGTATAAAAAAAACATAAACATTATAAATTCCCAAAATAATATCTCATTTGCAAAGAGTAAATTAATTGTTTTATAGTTCACCTAAAACAACAATATTAATTTTTTCTAATGTATACAATAAATCGTATCAATATCAATGCCCAGTAGACAATGATATTAAATGTAGGATTTTTTTAAATTTCAATGGTGGTATCTTTGCTGCATTTTTCTTTAAATAAAACAAACAAAAATATTTTTTTTCTTCCGTGGTGTGCACTGATTTAGGATTCCTCGAATATGTAATTACCTAACCTTATATTTGTGGAAAATGCTGGTCATCCACTTTTTTTTTTTATCAAAGTGTATTGGTACTGCACTAATGTAATTCAAATAAGTTCGTTCGTGGTATAGGTAAAATATTATATTGAGTTTGATCTCTCGATTCATTAAAACATCACCACAAGTATACCAACACTTTTATTAAATTATTTCGTGCACAATCTTAGGCCTCGTAGTGTTCAAGATCGCATTAATTCTTATGTATTATACATTCAGTCATCCAGACTTAGACCAACTGTTCCAAAAGGTATGAAATACGATAGCTTTCAGCTTTTAAAGGCATTCATAATAATTGCTATTTTTTAGTTCATGAAAATTAGTTAACCTATTTAAAAAATATAGTTAAACAACCACAAATTAATAATAATAACACTATAATAGGTAATAATTGTTATTTTCACAAACTTAATTATATTTGGTATTCACAAATATATATTTTATTACAAATTTACATACAATATAAAAATTATTAAAAATAACAAAAATGAATAAAATGTATTATTTATTAATAATTTAATTTATTTTTTAATGTTTTATTTTTTTATTTTTTCATAGGAGGAACCTGTTGGATTGGGTGATCCTAAATCTAGTCCAAGCTTTCCTACGCAGCGATCTGAGGTTGTTGAATTATTATCAGAGATGTCAGACTCAGACTCTAACCATAGTGATAAACAAAAAAGCCAATCTGATTCATCATCTTCTTCATCTTCATCATCCTCATCATCCGAAGATGAAGACGATAAGAAGAAAAAACCTCGAGACACTAGCAGTGATTCGTCCTATAGTAGCCGTTCGCATGCATCATCTAAACCAATAACAGACTTACACAAGAAATACTCAGCATTAGTAAAGTGCGAGAAAAAAGATCTCAAGAAATCATTAGTTAAACCTGCTAAATTAGTAGAAAGGAAATCAACACCAGTGTTGGTAAAAAAAGAGGAACCAGTTGAAGAACCAGTTGCAAAAAAAAGAGGTCGAAAGAAGGGTTCAACAAAAACTCCTAAACCTCTTCTGCCATCAAAAATCAAGTCAAAACCTTTGGTTTCATCAGATACAGAGGATGATGAACCACCTAAACCAGTAAAGATAAGTGGAAAACCAAGGGGTCGACCACCAGGTAGTAAAAATTCAAAAGTGGTATCAGCTAGCAGCGAATCAGAAGAATGGACTGATAGTAGCCGAAAGAGTCGAAAGAAAGATTCTGAAAAGAAGTCTTCACATTCAGTAAAGAAAACACCGTCCTGGGAAAAAAACCAACCTCAAAAACCTGTAGCTCGAGTTAGTGCTGCTTTACGTCCACCACGTTCAATTTCGAGCAGTGCAGATTCAGACTCCTCTGATGTAGAATGTAGGCCACCACCCATGTCGACAGCAACTGAAAGTCCACCCAAACTTGATGTAGAGGGAATTAAAGTGCAAGATAAGAAGAAGAATGATACTTTAAGGAAACTGTTTATAACACGACGTGAAGATGGTGGAGCCAAGAGTGGTGGAAAATCCAAAGGGGGCAAAGGTGGCAAAGGTGGAGTTATCATAATTGATAACAATGAAGCAATGCGCAATGACAACGAACGTGTTATATCTCCTGTACCAGTCATTCCACTCATGCCTAAAGAACCTGAAGGCCTAAAGACTTTAAAATTATCTGTGATGTGTAAAATACCTTTAAGTAAATTGCCACCTAATTTAAATTACTTGGTAAAACCAGCAAGATCTGAAGAGCTGAGAACCTGTGCTGATTTGGCAAATACAAGGCAAGATGAAAAAAAACAAAAGCATAGGCATCATAAGCATCATCACAAAGGCAGTCCATCACAAGCCATTTCAGGATCAGAAAAATCTAAATCCAACGAATCTCCAGCGAATACTGCTCCGCCTGCTCAGCCTCTTCTCCAACAGCCTTCTTCTGATGGCTATTCCAAAGGCATGATGGACAATGTTAATGTATGGCGTAAGCCAACATCTGTATGTGCAGTAATACCAGAAGCAAAAGTTAAACCCCTTGAGCATAGGTAATTTTTATTATTTTGTATTGTTTTGAAATAAGTATAATGTAATTGATTTTAATGTTATTTAATATGTATATTTTAAATTTTAGTACTATGTCATACTTGCAACGCCCAGCTGCCACCAGTGGTCTGATTCATGGCCCTTACGAAGAATCATCCGAAGACGAAGATGGTGGACCACCTCCTTTCCTTCCATATAGTACCACCTCTGTTCAAATAATGGACCCTCGGTATAAACGTTCATTGGAACTAGATCAATACTCTCCTAATGCTTCAAAAAGACGAAAATTTCACAATCCAACTGGTTCAGCAACACTAGGAAGATATGCTACAGGAATAGTAAGTGGATTTACACACAGTTGAAAATAAAATAAGTACAAATTAACCACTGATACTTTTCTTGGTCAGTAGACTACAATTTTTTTTTAAAATTCTTTTAATTTGTTTTTTAGTTACCTATTAACTTAATGTGTATTTTAGTATGGTATTAGTTACTATTAGGTATGAGTAAATTTAACTTATATTTTTACATCTATAATATTTCCAAAGTTATTAGACATACTATAATTTGTAAATCAAAGTTATAAAATCATAAAGAAAAGAAAAAAAATAATATATTACATATTACCAGCCCCGGATAGGCAAGGTATCGGCCCACCAAGTTTTACGATTTTAACCGGCCCTAAAAAAGTTAACGGCCCATTTTTTAATAAGATAAAGTCATTAATAGGTATCCATATTTTAACAATAACATCATAAACATCACAATATAAATTATACATATTATATTAAGCAGTTATGTTGACATAGATTAATAATAAATATAACAACTAAGCCGGCCCACCGAGTTCAACTCGGTAACTCGCCGGCTCTATCCTGGCCTGCATATTACTTAACATATTTTAAATTATATTTAAATCAAGATCGATCATTTTTTGAAAACAAATGCCAATTAAATAAACATTAAAGTAAATATAACTCAAAGTTATAAACCAGAGTGTACCATTAGGTGCTAGTTTACATTGTGGGAAACATTCAGTTGTCCAATATCTATGTTTGTAGCAAATTGTTTAATACTCTTAATAAGTGTATAACCTACATTTGTTTTCTAAATAACTGATGTATAAAATTATAATAATTAATATAAAATAAATAGTTACTTGTAACAATAACAATTCATTGTTTTCAATTAGGGCGATGGATTAATAAATGATATCTTGGTGGATCGCATGCATGAAGTTCCTGTACAACCTCCTCCCAGACAACCATCATGGCGCATGCAATCCATGCACCACCAGTATCCTCCAAGGAAAAGATTCTTCTCATACTTTGTAACTGACTTGTACCCTGAAAACAAGTAAGATCACCATAAATATATTTACCTAAATTATTATTTACAATATTGTTAATTTTTTTGTTTCAGTATGCACCAAGAGGTCCCGTTGAAGGAGGCACAAGCATTAACCAAATTAGCAGAGTACGAGCCTGATCCTATTACTCAAGAAATGAAATACTTGGACGGTATTCTGTGTTTTGTACTTAGTGGGCATTTGATGGAGAATGATGGGACTAGGGAAAGAGCAGTGCTCAAAATTTATAATGACACTGTTGACTTAATTAAGTAAATATTAACAATTGTATTTTACTTTTTTCTTTCTCAACATGTTTTCTCATATTCTTCTGATATTTTTGTAGAGTTATTTGGTCAAAAATCTATAACTACCGTGCAGACTGTGATCATGAAGAGCTAGACGAAATATTTGAAATGGCTGATAACCCAGAAAGGGATAATAGGCTATTAATACTTTGGTAAGTACATGTTACTTATTCAAAGAACTTTAATTTTTTTTTACTTATCAATAAGTTACTAATTATTTGTTACAGGATGAGGTGTCTTAGCTTCCTGCGATTGAAATTATTCAAACTTCTTGTATACCAAAATAGACAAAATTTTAAGACTGTTCAGCAACATTTTCTGAAGGTAAGTTTTTTTATTTAAGGTATTTACATTTGTGTATGGTTCTAACTAAAATCTTTGACCAGAATGTGGGTTCAAGTCCCATTTCACCATCTCCATCACCAGCCAGTTCTGTGGAAAGTCACTCATCAGGATACTGTAGTAGTAGCATCACGCCCAGTGGTGGAGCTGCATCGTCTGGAGCTGCAACAGGTGTGATCGGCGTTCCAATTGTTGTGCACAATGCTATTCATTCGCAGCACATTTTGTATTGTCATTTGGCAGCAGCACATGAAATGTGGCAACGTGCTGACCTTTTAGTTATGCGCGGGAAACATACACGTAAGATATATAGGATTTAATTGTTTAAAATTTAGAATGTACTTCTAATTAAATTGTCTGCTTATTTGTGTCACAGAATTCTTTGTTGAGATGGACCGACATTGTGGACCGCTCACACTACATAGTACCGGCCATGATCTCACCCTGTATGCTCGCATTGCAATTTCCCGCATGAGATGTGAGTTTAACATAAAAAATTACCTTCCATGATATTAGATGAACACCTCGGAAGCTAAGTCATTACACACATAAAAAAAAAGTACAGACCATACTGTCTTGTCACATTTCGTCATCATCTTGGGCTTCATTGTAACGAGGAATTTCATTTCTGTTTCATGCAAATTGTATATAACTACTTAATGTAGGTTATAACATTATAATATATATCCTGTATATAACTCATGTACAGCTACTTCTAATTCTCTTCAGTATATTCTGTGTATTTTTTTTTTTTAAAATAATTTTAACTTTGAAAGATAAATTGTTATATTTTGACACAAAATACTAGAAAAAAAAAGAAAAAAAAGTTATATTAATATATATTTATAATAAACAAATTATATATATGTAAATCATAAATGTAAAATATTAATTAAAATTTGGTTCTGAGCAAGACTCTTACATAACAGTCTTAAAAGCAAATTTTGGTTTGGGTATTTAACATGGGATTTTAAATATACGATTATTATTATTATTTTATGTACTACGTATATATTCATTATTAATCTTGTAATCTTAATCTTTTGATGACATTAAGTTACATATTATTTTAACCTTACAACTTATAAAAAATACCAAAAAAATTTAATTAAATACTTAACAGTATATCTTATAATTTTAAAATTTAATATATCTATATATTATATATTTTTTTAACAAGTTATAAACATCTGATTAATTATGTTGTAGAGTAAACAACAATTTTTAATAATTTGTTTTGCAATGTAAAACAAAAAAAATGTATAAAAAAAGAGTTGTGTAATTAAAATAAAACAATATGTATATGTATTGTATAATGTATATATATATAATATACATGTATATTATTTATATATATTTTAATATGTATATGTGGGAATTCATTCCTCGCTTAGTTAAATTTACCTGATTGTTGTGTCCGAGATGCTGTTCTAACACTCGGTCAAACAATCTAAATAATAAAAGAAATAATAATTTTTTTTGTTAATCTTAAGAGTTACCTTTGTGTGGAGTAAAGTATGTATGTAGTAACCAAATGTGTACAAACGACACCAACGTTTAATTATTATTGAAAAATTTTTTGTTTTGAATTTCTGGATGAAAGGCTCAGTTTAGAGCATCGGTGGGGTTGATCAATTGTGTTGTCAAGTTTTGTCTTTTGAACGCACTAGGTTGTGCAAAAGATAAAGTGATGAATAATATTTTTTCTTCTATGATATTTAATATTACTCTATATTATTATAAAATTATAAATGTGTATAAATACTAATTTTTCACTCTTCCCAATCAATTTTTTTCTAAAAACTATCTTAGAATGAGCTTTGTGAGTTATTATCGATTATTATTATAATATATACAATATAATTGCAAAAACTTATATTATGTTTAATATACACAATACATATATATTTTATAAACTTTTCAGTGCTTACATAACTAGTAGTGTTATATTTGTATTATGTATCTACATGTGGTCTGGAGATATTTTTGTTTGTCATTTTGCCAACAATTTCTCTGACCCGTGAAAGTGACCAACAAATTTGTTAATCGCCTTATGTTGTTTTAAACAACGATTTAGTAAGACTTATATTAATGCCACAAGTTAAAATTTATTTCATTTACATGGTTAATAATTACATTTTAATTATAGTCTTATCATTAGACTGTGACATTTTTTTTAGACAATTTGTGTATAAAAGATACAAAAAAATTATAAACAAAACCAAAGTCTGAGTTATATTGCCTTAAAATGTAATCGATATATATATATATATATATACTATATTATGGTATTCAAAATGAAATATATTTAGTGATGTTTACATTTAGATTTAAAATAAATAAATAATAAAAATACTCATCCCCTACCTATTCACCCAAAAAGATTCTAAACAAAAAATGTAGTCCCATTTTACTTTCTTTGTTGTTTTGTTAGTGTTTAATTTATTATTTTTTTTTTCGTTATATTATAATATATATACAAACAGATAAACATTACCAATTTCCACATGTTTTAGTTTGTAATATTATATCATTATTATTATTATTATTATTATTATTATTATTATTATTATTATTATTATACTTTTTTTTTTATTTTAATAATTCCGTCACGCACACAAAATGATTAGTTGAATTATTGTGTTATTAAAAAATAATTTTAGTCCGAACAGTATTTTAATTTTTTTCTCGTGCGATTTTAAATGCAATAATGTTATTACTTATTACTATACTATACTATACTACTATTATTATTATTATTATTATTATTATCATTATTATTATTAGATATTGTAAACCCTGTCCGCCTGGCACAGCCGGCGCTCACGGGTCGATCCCGTTACCTTAATTTTTTTTCCTCCGTATCCGCCTCCTTCCCGTTTACGTTACCCCAAATACGGTTAACTATAATAATTGTGAAGAAAAAAAGATTGTTAATAAAAACTAAAAAAAACTGCAATGGATTATTAATTATTCTTATATATAATATTATTGTGTTAAGGATAGAAAAAATTATATTATCATTTAATATTTTTATGTTATACCTATAATTTATAAAATTTTAAAATTAAAAAAAAAAACTAAAATTATTTGAAAAATATATATATAAAAAAATAAATAATTTTGTGTTGTATTTTTTTTGTGCTTAGTTGTGGTTACTTCTCTGCTCAATTCTATACCTAACGATCTAAAATTGATCGAGATCGGATTCTTGATTTCTTGGCGCTTTCTGCAGGTAGCTTCACAACAGTATTGACTATTGGCTGTTGGTGATTAAACTCATGGGCAAACCGAGACCAGTTCTCGTATTTTTCGGTCAGTGAAGATTTTTAGACGTTGACACTGCCCTACTGTGGCATGCTTAGTTTTTTTTGAAAAGGGGGTGACAATTTTTACCTCTGTATATAGCGGTAAATATACTATTGCTCTATTGTATAGTTTATTAGACAAAAATAAGTCAAAAGGGGGGAGCGGGGTATTCCACCCACATCAAAACTGTGAGCACGCGGCCTGCCAACCTGCAACGACGGTCAAATATAATTTTGAAAATCGCTCGACCGGCACATTTCACACAAGACGGACCTTTTGCAATTTCGATTGCAAAAACAAAAATTAACTGTCGAAAAGCGAATGTTTAGATATTAGATATTATGTAGAACAGTGGCAAGTGGTCGCCGACTGCCGACTATTGACACTATATTGTTGAATACGACAGAAACTGTTTTGAATTACGATTGGTAATCTTTACTCTGCACTAGTCACTAAACGTGTCATACACGTAGTCAGCTCATTTGTTATGAGAATTGCAATATTTATAAACAATTAATTGAAAAAATTACATTTTTTACCTTTTATTTCACAACTATATTATGTTAGTGAGAGGTTTACATAACATTATTTTTCTGTCTTATCTTCCGATAAACTGTAATTGTGTAAGTATTTCATAGTAAGTTGTTCTTACAGTATTGTAAGTAATGAATAGGATTAAAAATGTATAAAAAAAATTTTTTTCGAATCCGGGCCGCATTTAGTGACCTTTTCAATACATTTGGCCCGGTTAATACTCCGAGTTGACATGCCCGCTCTACACCTATCCACACCTATTCTGTATTCATGTAACCATGTCGCCATACTACTATAGATGCAAAATACTATCAATATGATCAAAATGTTTGAGTCCCTTCAAAATAATAATGCAAACTATCCAAAATAATAAAATGTAAGTATAGGTACAGTTGTTAATAAACAGTAGATCCCTATAGTATATTTTGTATACAAATAACAGTTTCTCGGTAAGCCTTAGAATTGGTTGGTTTAAATATTCTTCGTTTGGCCAAAACAAATTCTTCAAGAAGTTAAAAAGTTTTTCCTTCAACAAGCAACTTTTAACCGAAAAATAATGATTAGGTAAATAATAAAACAATAGCCAATAGGTAACAATAATAATAATCGGCTCGGCACAAAATCTATTTTATGTATAATATATTTACAAAGTATATGAAAATATTATTTTAATTTATTTAATTTAATACGTCTTTTGAATATTATATTATTGAGTAGAAAAATATGTAAGGCAGTCGTGGTGGTCCGGTAACTTCTCATATCGTTACAGGTACAGCTCCTTCGCTTTGATCACTAGATAGCGCTGTCTCATTTGTTTTTTGTTTTTAATTTCATTTTCAAATATTTGGTTGTTTTCTTTTTATAGATTGCCCATTAGCAAATTTATTTGCTAATAAACTTTTATCTCTGCCCCTCCCCTCCTCCCACAAATTATTTTGCATATAGGTTTTCTAAGACTCTAGCCCCTGGAACTTTTCAATCATATAAAAAAAAGTAATATAGTTAGGCCCATGCACAGTAAGTAAGGACTGATCTCCTTGAACATTTTTTCTGCTACACTTTAAAATTTTTGTGATGGGTCAAACCGGCTTCCAAATAAATTGTGGAGACTCTCCAACACACTCTGTATAACGAACCAAATTCAAAAAACATTAACTATAAAACAATTAAATTGTTTTCTTTTTTTTTTTTAAATGTGTTCTAGCCTTTTTTCTTTAATCATTAATAATAAAAACAATAATGTATTAATGTACAATAATAAATAGTTTTAAAACCTAATTATTTCATAGGATAATTTCTCAAATAGAATTGTATTTAGAAATAAATAAGGTTATAATAATTTGTTATTTTTTGTCCTATTCTTTTATTGATTTGAAACTCGTCTTCAATAATATTTAACTATTAGATACTGTATACATTTCATCAAACAGAAGTCTTGAGCTTTCAACCAGGAATTACGTGTTTTCTAGCCATGTCTCAGTGATTCAGTTCATCAAAAAATTCAAAATATCTATTCAGTATTCACTAATCATTAATAATAACAAATTGTTATCAACAACAGGTGCAACGAAAGTTACATTTTGTTTGGCTAGATCTTATTTCAAGATTTCAGATTATTATGATACCTGATAAAATATAATATAAATATGGAGGAGGCGCCGACTCCTCATTCGCTCCCTTAAAAACGTGCATCTAATGAAATCTCTCTATTTATATTAAGAATAGATTATTCACCAAATCGATTCTGACGGTGACCGAAAATAATTGTTTATCCCCGTGATCGCGCTTGATCTTCGAAAACAGGAACGTTCTAAAGTTTAGGAGGTAATCGGTATAAGGCCATTGAAACTTATACCATTGAATATAAATTTGAAGATGACATTTTTGCTAGACATTCTTTAACATGCCTAATATTCAAGGTTTGGACCGGTTATCGGTTATATTTTTAAATATGTACTAACATTTTTTGATTTTCACACAGGCACTTCAAATTGTGGTCACCGATTCAATATTCTACTCTTTCCGTCTAAGGTTTCGTAGTTGGTAATCAGGAGTTTTATACGAAGAAATAACCAATTTATGGAATTCGACTAATTATTTTAGTAGGTAACCTATCCAAAACCAAATGTAACCATTCTGTAGTGTATATACGTATACAGGTAAAGGTACCTACTATGAGACTATTGGCGATATTATTATATGGCCGCAGTCCACCATAGTATAGTGAATTTGTGATGGCGCAAAAATGTAACATGCAATATAATATAATATGTAGCTTTAAACCATTTGAAGACAAAAAAAAAAAAAAGCACAAATGGGGGAAAAAAATAAAATTCGGGTGGTTTTAAAACTTATAAACTATAATTGCTTGCATAATATATTATATGTTGAACTTACAAATGGCTAATAATATGTTGCGCTGCTGTTTTTATCGCCACTTTATTATCGTATAGGTGCTCCGCTGTAGAAATGCTGCAGAATAGGTACATAAAACGTAAATTAATGCATAATATTATGCAATGTTGGTAACTGGTAACTGGTAAGGGCAACCGAGTGCATGTATAGTATGTACCTATATGGCTATTATATATCTATACTGCAGGGTTGTTTCACCAGGCACCGTCGTTTAATCTTTTAATAATACATTTATTCGAATGCTGATTTTTGGATTTATTTTTACTCAAAGACTTTATTTTCAAAAATAACTACCTACTTATAGTTCTTACAACAAAACCTCGTAATGTACGCCCCGTGCCGATATTAGTTTTTTTTTGTTTTGTCGTATGACAACTGTTCTTTTTAATTGTGAAATGCTCAGATACAACTATATTATTATAGCCTACAGTATTATAGTCTTGCTAAGTATACTTTTTAAATTTATTCAGAATACGTATTTAAATACTTGGTGTCATTTGTATTTTAATATAAATACAAATCCATTTCAAAAGCATTTAAAATACTTTGCAAGTACTTTATCGTGCTAAATACTATTATATTAAAATGTTTGGACGTTTATCACAATTGTAAACTTAAAATTATTAATAAATATTAAAATTAATTAATTTATAAATAGTGATCCTTTTATTGGTTCGATAATTTCAAATATATACATATTTTATTATCAAGTTAAACACACTTAAACTTCATAGAGGTAGATATGAGTAATAGAAATTGTGCTTATATACTAGTACGCTGCACACGAGCTGAATTTCGAAAATTAAGCTTGATCGATTTTTTATAATATCTATCAAGATGAATTCAATTATATTTTAGATAGATAGTAAAAGACTTCAGAACATTTGAGTATAAACAATAAACATTACATAGTTTATATTACATGCAAAACAGAGTAAAATATAATCTACGACTGGCGAATAAAAAGGTCCAACAGCATACGAAATTGTTTTTATTGTGCGGATGGTACCTACCTTTTATTTTTTAACTTTACGTAAAATAACAACTCATTTGTTTGGACAGTGAAAAAATATCCTGCAAATACATTCTGATCAGCTCAAACGTTATTTTTGTTTTAGAGAAATACGAAACAATGTTTTTACACAGAATAAACGATGTACATAAACAAATTAAATACAGACAATTAAATTGCATCATGTTTGTTTTACAAAATATTCGTTATTATAATGTGTTATTATAACTGGTATTTATATTATTATTATTTTTTGACAAAATTGATATCATTTGGAAATTGGAATATAACAAATATGTAACAAAAACACCATGTTAACATTTTCTAATTTATAACGTATAGGTTAGTATATACTGTATATACAGTAATAGGTAGTGTTTTTAGGTAGACATCTGCAATTGATAATAATTTATTCTTTCAAAATAATTATCTTCCGTGCAATTATAACAGTAAACACGCATTATCTCGAAAATCGTTTACATTTTTGAAAACACGTATTTGTCTTATGTAATCATTTAAAATCATTTCTACACACAATTTTGAAAAAATAAAACTATTTTTTACTTTCATTATGTTTCAAAAGTTGTTCACTCTTTTGAATGACAATATACATTTCAAATTGTATGTGTACCGAAACAGAATATTTTTTGAGTATTTATTTATTTTAATATACTAAAATCAAACGTCGA